TTTTGGAGCCTATCCTGGCACTTGCTCTGGAGACCAGGCTGGCCTTGAACTCACAGAGATCCTCCTGCCTCTGCCTCCCAAGTGCTGGGATTAAACATGTGTGCCACCAATGCCCGGCTCACATCCTGCTTTTAAAAGTAAATATTTAAAAAGGAAACAAAGAATAATATAAAATTAAAATGTGTGGAAAAAAACTGGAAAATGGTTCAGGGATTAACAGTAGAGGACTACAGTTCAGTTCCCAGCACTTCTGCCTGCATGTATCTATCCTATGCAAGCCAGCAAAGGGCACCAGATCTCATTACAGAGAGTTGAATTTAACTCAGAACCTCTCTGGAAGAGGTCTTAACCAGTGCTCTTAACCTCTGAGCCATCTCTCTAGCCCAAATATATATACATGTAAGTAAACACTCATACATATAAAATAAAATGATAAAATGTTCATCTCCATAAAGATCCCTACTATGGGAAAGGACTTACCTGAGAACCTGTCCTAATTCCAGGGGGATGAGAACTATAGACCTTCACCAGCCCTATCCTACTCCAGGGATATCCTATCTAGGTCTGTGGGCCTCACCTGATCTTTGGGGGTTCTTGTCCAGCCCAAATCCTCCAGTGAACAGCATCTCAGCCTGCCTGGCCAGCAGTACATATCGGGGCTGGTCCTGTACTCCATCATACTCTCCACCTTCGTCACAGTCAGTGGTCTTCAGGGCTGTGTCGTACCAATGTAGGGCCTCTGACCAGTCTTGGCACCTAGCCAGGAGACATGGATGGGAGAGGGATGTTACTGCGGCAACAGGGTGGGATTACAGAGGACCACTGATCTAGAGGGGCAAGCCTGGGATCTCAGTGAGACTACCACCTCTGGTCCACAAACTATAGTACCATGGGCCACCACATCTAAGGGATACCTTCATATTGTAGACTTTCTATGTTTGTGTTTTATTTTTTAGAAATTTGAATTTATGTGTCCCTGAGTGTATATGCTACCTGTGTGCATGTGTACATGGAGGCCAAAAGGAGTAAAGGGATCCCAAGGAGCTGGAGTTACTAGTGGTTATGAACTTCCTGTTGTGAGTGTTGGGAACCAAACAAGTGCTCTTAACTTCTGAGTGAGGTTAAATATATATATTTTTTCTTTTCCACCCACCCCCAAGACAGGGTTTCTCAGGGGAGTCCTGGCTGTCCTGGAACTCACTCTGTAGACCAGGCTGGCCTCAAACTCAGAGATCCACCTGCCTCTGCCTCCTGAGTGCTGGGATTAAAGGCGTGCACCACCACCACCACCACCACCACCACCACCCAGGCTCAGTTTCTGTAAGGGATCTTTCCTTAACAAAGTTGGTACAGTATGACAACTCTTTCACCAATGGCAGGAGACTACTTTGGCGAAGGGTGACATTTATCTAGGACTGTGCCTAAGCATCCTGCGGGCTAGCTAGACATCGCAGGACCTGTGTCCTTGCTATGCTGCCCTTTACCTGAGTGGCAGAAAGAGTGGTAGATGAGGGTCTCTGCAGAGCCTCTAGAGCAATGGTTCTTATCCTTCCTAATGCTGAGACTCTTTAATACAGTTCCTCATGTTGTGGTGACCCCCAGCCATAAAATTACTTTTGTCGATACTTCAGACCTATTATTTTGCCTCTGTTTCAAACCATAATATAAATATCTGATATGCAGGATATCTGATACGCAGGTTATCTAACATGTGACACCTGTGAAAGGGTCATTCATCCACAAAAGGGTCATGACCCATGAGCTGAGAATAATTAATTGCTCTAGAACCATCAGAACTAACAGCAATAAACCAGACCCCTATTTCTTTATTTGGTAACAAGGTCTATATAGGCTGACCTCAAACTCATGCTTCTGCCTCAGCCTCCCAAGGTCTAGGACTACAGGCATCCACCACCACTGTCAGCCCCCTCAGACTCTGCCTATACTGGCCAGCCCTGTTCTCCAGTGCACATGTCTCTCAGCCCAGTCACTGGACCATCCAGCTCCTTCACCTACAGTAACACACATAAGCCAAATCCCTAAGGGGTACCTAGGTCCCAGCCAAAGTTTTACAAAGAGAAGCTGGCTGCTTCTCTCCAGTGTCACCCATCTGAGGAATTATTTACAGTATACTGCTAAAGAGCGGAGAGAAAGTCCAACAGAAGAGCTAGAACAGCAGCTCTCGGTGACTTCAGTCCTGACTACCTGGCCTTCCCTTCAGCCACCCTCCACTCTATGCCAGTTTAAGTCTTTCCACACTCGAGCACAGACACACACTTGCGCGCATTAATGCATACATGTGCTCATGTTCACGGACATGTGCATGGGAGTGAAGAAAGCCAGATGGCAGAGGACAAATGAATGTCATTCCTTAGGTGCCATCCACCTTGGTTTTTGTTTTTTTCTTCTTGAGACAGGATCTCTCACTGACCTGAAACTTCCCAATGACCTCAGGGGTCCACCAATTTCAGCTTCTCTAAATGAGTTCTGGGGACCAAACTCAAATCTTCATGTGCCAGGCAAACAATTTATTGACCAAGCTCCCCAGAATAGCAGATGAATTCTTACCACTAAAGAGAAGGTGCCTGCTCAAGAATTCAAGAATGTATTTTTTTCTTGTGTTTGTTTGTTTGTTTGTTTGTTTTTTGAGTCAGAGTTTCTCTGTGTAGCCCTGGCTGTCCTGGAACTAGATCTGTAGACCAGGCTGAGGTCCTAGGTTTAATCTTCAACACTGCATCGTAAGAATAACAAAACAGAACAAGAGTAGGAAATGGTAGTCAAAATCACCAAAATTCTATTTTCTATGGACAATCATGCTGAACTGCAAACCTTTCTGGTTTTCCCCCAACATATGCTGGCAAAATGGCTGCCATCATTACATGCTTTATGTGTGAGGCACTGTGGGAAAGGTATTTGATCTTCACAGGCGCATCATTAGAGACAGATACTATCATCATTCCTATTTCACCAAATGAAGAAACTGAGGCCAGTTAAGTAAAGGGCATTGCTGAAGGTCACTGAACTGGTAACAAGCAGAGCCAAGGCTAGAACCCACATCTGTCCTGAACCAAAGGAAAAGCAACCCGTGTGGCCCAGGTTACCCCAACATTAATTAGGTGGCAGCAAAAGTACCTGTCTGGGCTGAGGTTTAGGCCAGTGTCAAAAGCTCGGGCCACTAGGATCATGGACTGCCTATCACCAGCTTCTGCCGCCTTCAGTAAGTAATCAAAGCCCTTTATCTTGTTCTCTTCTGTCTCCTGTGAAAGAAAAAAGGCACAGACAGCAAATGAATGTGTGAGGGAGAGTGCAGGAACTCCCTTGTCAACCTCTAGTTTAGGTTGTGAAGGTTCTGGTTGGGAAGTTCAAGCCCATGGCTTTTAGTATATTGATCAACTTGTTCAGCTATTCCCACCATGGGTTTAAGAAACTAATTTTTGCCAGGTGTTATGGCACACACCTTTAATTCTAGCACCCAAGAGGCAGAGGTAGGAGATTTTTGAGTTTGAGGCCAGTCTGGTGTACAAAGCAAGTTCCAGGATACCTAGGATTACACAGAGAAACCCCATCTCAAACAAACAAACAAACAAACAAACAAATCCCCCCAAACCCTAAATTTGTATTATGTTCACTTATTTATTTATTTAGGTGTGTGTGTGTGTGTGTGTGTGTGTGTGTGTGTGTGTGTGTGTGTGAGTCTGCATGTGCCATAGTGTATGTGTGATTGTCAGAAGACAACTTGTGGGAGTTGGTTCTTTCTTTCTACCATGTAGGACTTGGGAATTAAACTCAGGTTGTCAGGCTTTGTGGCAAAGTGCCTTTACCCACTGATCCATGTTGGTGGCCCAATTTCAAAATATCTTAACCAATCCAAAAATAAACCATATTCCACAAATCACAAATTTTCCCTATACCTTTATCTCTCCACCATACCCATTCACTTTCTGCCTCTGTGAACTCTGAATGTGTCGCATATTAACATGTGGTAGAGTCTGGACGTGTCACATATATGGAGGAATAGAATGACATAACATATGGTGGACTCTGGACGTGTCACATATATGGAACAGACTTTTGTAACATGTGGCATTTTGTGTTTGGCTTCTGTCACACAGGTTGAAGCATATGCCTTTACTTCATTCTTTCTCCTGATCAAACACTGTTCCATCTCACTGTCTTTATCCACTGATGGGAGAGAGTGATGTGCTGTGACATCCATGTACAAACATGCATACAAATGCATGTGGACACACAGTTGATTGTTTCAGACAGGGTCATATCATGTAGCTCAGGCTGACCTGGAATTCTCACTCCTTCTGTCACAGTCTTCTGAGTATTGGGATGACAGGGTACGTCACCATGCCTAGCTTTGGATGGTTTTGTCTGTTTGTTGTTGTTTTGTGGAGACTGTAAGAGACAAAGAAGGACTCTCCCCAGAGCCTCCAGAAGGAGCACATGGCAATTTATCAGGGTGTGGCAATTTGTTATGAGGGTCTCAGGTAACTTGTGCATTTCTGAAACTACATCTGAGTAGCCAGTCAAAATCGTTAACTTACTATTTAGAAAATGAGAAGATGGCCCTAGTGGTGTGGCTCAGTGGTGGAGAGCTGGTCTAGCATGTACAAAGTCCTGGATTTCACCCTCAGCAGGGGAGAGAGAGAAGGGATGAAAAGTATGAGAAGGAAGAAGGGAAGGGTGAGAAGGAGAGGGTAATGAATATAGAAGGAAAAGGCAGGAGAGGCATTTTTTGCTGTAAGCCCCCGCCCCCCATATTCAAGGCAGGGATTCTCTCTATGGAACAGCCCAGTCGTACTGGAACTTGGCTCAAGGCTGGCCTGGAAGTCACAGAGATCTGCCTGCCTCTGTCACCATTGCCCAGCTACTATAAACATTTTTATATCAAAATTATTAGGGGCCAGGCATTGGTGGCACACACCTTTAATCCCAGCACTCAAGAGGAAGAGGTAGGTGGATCTCTGTAAGTTGGAGGCCAGCCTGGTCTACATAGTGAGTTCTAGGACAGCCAGAGCTACATAGTCAGGCCATGTCTCAAAAAACAAACAAACCAACAAACCAACAGATCCTCCAGTAGGTGACCACCAGGATGGGGGCAGTAAATGATGGACTGGCTGAGCCCTCCACTTTAGGTTGGGTTTACACATCCCCTCACCTTCAGAGAGACATCAGCCAGGATGTGGTGGGGCAGCTGAGAGTACATGAGTCCCAGGCCCACGATGGCCTCCAGTTCTCCCAGGTCAGCTGCGTGCTCCAGATGGAAGATGGCTGAATCTCGGTCCCATTCCTCATCCTTCTGGCAGAAGCGCCCACCCTCATGGTATCTTACCATGGCCAGATGGACCTGCCACACAGACTGCAGTGTTGGTCTGGGTACCTGGGAGGCCAAAGCCTTGCCCAAGGTCAGCCCAACCAGCCTGCAAGAAGCAGCAGTTAGTGGAGGGGCGCCCTGGGTTCTGGACAGGCATCACCCATACCTTCCCCAAAACAGACTTCCCGATTTTCCTTTCAAGGTCCAGATCATTTAGCCTTTGCACTTCGAGGGCCACAGCCGAGGGCCTCGGCAGGTGCAGGCGGGAGGGATTTCGAAGGTTCCACTTCTCCACACAGACCTGATGGGAGAGACCAAGTGGGTGGAGTTTAAAGGCCGGAGAAGAGAGGAGCTGGGATTGGATGTGCTGCCACAGAAGTCAGCCATCATAAAAACAGGAGGCTGGCTGGCTGGCAGGCAAGGGGACAGAACCCCTGATGGCATCAAATTATACTGGACAAGAGTGGCCCCAATTCGTTTGGTTTGTTTCTGACAATTTGATAGTACTATTCTTTTTTTTTTTCCCCCTGAGACAGGGTTTCTCTGTAAAACAGCCCTAGCTGTCCTAGAACTAGCTATGTAGTACACAAGGATGGCCCTGAACTCACAGAGATCTCCCTGGCTGTGCCTCTGCCTCCTGAGTGCTCAGATTAAAGGCGTGCACCACTACCATTCGGCTTATTTCTGATACTTTGAACAAGAGCCTTGTTATGGTCCAGATGGACCTTGAACTTACTATGTAGGTTAGGCTGCTTTACATTCATGACCTTACTCAGACTTGCAACTGCTGGGATTATAAGGGAACACCCCCCACTCCCACCCTACAGGACTTCTATCTATCTATCTATCTATCTATCTATCTATCTATCTATCTATCTATCTATATGTCTCTTTCCCTTCAAGACGGTTTTCTCTGTGTAGCTTTGACTGTACTGGAACTCACTCTGTATACCAGGCTGGCCTCGAACTCACATTGCCACTAGCTCATGGGTACTGATAGAGGACAGCAACAGTACACAATGACCAGCAGAACAGACCTCAGTGGCCCTGTGAAACACTTCCTCCCATTTATCATCAGCCTGGAGCTGCAGCTGAGATTCAACACTAAGCCTTCTCCTAGGTTCTTCCTCCTACCAGGCCCCAGCAAAGAATGACTCCCACAAACACACTTGCCTTCTCTGAGTCAACCAAGATGAAGTGAGCAACATCCATGAGGTGCTTCATGGAACACAGGCAGCTAAATGCCCTGCAGCCCCGAAGCAACAAGGACCCAGCCCAGGACGCCAACAGTGACTCAGCTGGCAACTTTGTCCTGCTCCAGGCTGAGAAGGCTTCATTTGACCATCAGCAGGGGAAAAAAAAAAGAGTCCAGCCAACTAGGGTGGGCCAGGGTTAGAAGGTGCCCTGGGCTCCAGATATGGGGACCAGGCTTCAGGGGGAGGAAGGACTCTGTAGGCAAGAGGGTCTCAACTTGGCAAACAGCGAGAAGTGTGCTGCACAATGTGTTGGAGAATCAGAGAATAACAAGTGCATTAGGGCTGGCCTTTCCTAACGTGCCTGACAGCCGCCATCACCAAGACACCAGTCATACACACAGTGGCCAAAAGACAAGCGCACTAAAAATCGTGGGTAAAATTACCATCAGCTCATGTTTTAAGTATATATGAAACATACATGATGAAGCTCATGGGTAGACTTTGGGTCCCTTTCAAGTTGTCCAATTGTGTATATGCCAGGTGTCCAACTTTTTTATTTTTATTTTTATTTTTTTGTTTTGTTTTGTCTTGTTTTTATTTTATTTATTATTATGTATACAATATTCTGCCTCCATGCCAGAAGAGGGCACCAGATCTCATAACGGATGGTTGTGAGCCACCATGTGGTTGCTAAGAATTGAATTCAGGACCTCTGGAAGCGCAGCCAGTGCTCTAAACCTCTGAGCCATCTCTCCAGCCACCCCCCCCCCATTTTTTTAAATCTAAAATGTAAGATTGGGATGATGGCTCAGTGGTTAAAACATTTGCTGTACAAGCGTGAGAAGTGAAGTTCCTCCCCCCCAGAAGCCTGGTAGGAGTAGTGGCGGCCTGCCTGTAATTACAGCCCTAGAAGGCAGAGACATGATCCCCAGAGCAAGCTGACTAGTAAAACTAGCCAGATCAGTGAGCTCTGGGTTTGATTGAAAGACCTTGCCTTGAAGAATAAGGTGTAAGAACAATAAAGAATGATTCCCAATATCAACCTTGGGTTCCACATGCATGGCCACACCTGCATACCCACACACATGCAAAAGCCTGCATAACACAGGCATGCATGCACACACATGAAAAATGGAAATGGAGAAATAATCTGAAATCCAAAGCATTTCTGAGCCCAAGTGTTTCGAATAAGGAACACATCCCAGGGTATCCAGGAAACTGGGAGAAAGTTGCCCAGGACTCTAGTTTTCTCATATAAAAGAGGTGATGAACAACCTAGCAAATGTCTTACTGGGTGCTGGCCAGGAGAAAGTGGCAGATGCTGTGACCTTCTTGTCAGGCTCTCTAACACATGAGTTGTCCTTGTTACTTTCTTCCAGGACCATCTCTTTCCCCCTCCCCCAGACTCTCTTGGCACCTTGCCCAGGAAATAACTTCCAACCTGACTTTTGCAAAATGGACATGGACATGCACAAGGTGGAGGGGCAGGCAGTGTGTCAGGAGAAGGGCAGAACACAAGAGCGGAAGAGACGAAGCCTGTTACTATGGGCACACACCCATCCATAGCTGCCCAATTGTCCCTATGGGCACATACCCATCCATAACTGCCCAACTGTCCCCATAGGTACATACCCGTCCATAGCTGCCTAGGCTGTCTTCATCAGATTCAGGCTTCCGGTTGCCATTGGAGTGATCCTGCAAGGAAACAGAAAATGAGTGATTGTAGGGGAAAGATCTTCCTCCCAGAACCCAATTCCTGGGGACAAGCCCTCACAGGGTCCCTTCTCTAGGGACACTAGTCTACCACTCCCAGGTGAAGCTGGAACCATCATCTGCAGAGCTAATGAGTTCACAGACTTCTTGTTCTGTATGAACAGACTGAATTGACCCTAGGTTACCAGAGTTGGCATAAAGCCACTGGAGAAATGGTGGTTAGTTCTTCCTCTGGCGTAGCTTCCTCCTGCATGCTTCATGTTCATGATTATATAGCTGATTATATATATGATTATATAGCTGAGACCAGGGCCTTCCATGCAGCAGGTCTTACTGTGCAGGTTCCATTTTGGTGCATGGCAATGTCTCTGAAGGACCGAGAATATGGAAGCCACCTCTACCCAGAGACTGCTGGGAGGGAAACCGAGGAAGCAGGCCTGAGACCCTCTCCAGGACTGCCAGGGTACCAGCTGGGACCCTTCCAGCTATATCAGCACCAGTGAAGCCTATTACCCAGCATCCTTTCTGCTCAGGAACCAAAGGTTCCAGCTTCAAAGATTTCTCTGCCATTTTGTCTATATATATATTTTAAAGATCTTATTCATTTATTATGTATACAACATTCTGCTTCCATGTATATCTGCACACTAGAAGGAGGCACCAGATCTCATAACGGATGGTTGTGAGCCACCATGTGGTTGCTGGGAATTGAACTCAGGACCTCTGGAAGAGCAGTCAGTGCTCTTAACCTCTGAGCCATCTCTCCAGCCCTTGTCTATATTTTTTTGTTTGTTTTATGGTTGTTGTTCTTTTAGAGACAGGGTATCCTTAGCTTAGGCTAGCCCTGAACATAATCCATAATGTGAGTCATACGTTCAGCCTGCTTGTGTTTTCAACCTTATATCCAAGCACTCTCTCTTCCCTTCCTTGTCCCGTGCACTTCACCTTCCTCCCTTCATTTGCCACTGCCTGAAGTCTGGTTTGCTACTTGTTCTCAGGACCAACTCTTACTTGCCTGTGAGCTTTTTATCTCAATGGATAACAGCTGAGGCAAACAAGGTCTCCAGTCTTAAGGTCTGGGAGTGCTTACGTGTTCTCGGGGCTCAGGATCATCCAGGTCACTTCGCTTCTCGCTTGGGTATCCACTGTCCCCACTGTTCTCGTAGTCCTGCAGAGAGAGGACAAGTTTAGGGTTCTAGTGGCGCTCCCAGAACCTGGTGGTGATGACATCTGGACATCCTAGTCATCTGTTCTCTTCTTGTTTCATTGCCTCATTCAATGGTCTTCTTCCTACCTCCTGCTAGTCGAGAGACCAGAAAGCTGTAAAAAGTAGTGGCAAAGAACTTAGGCCCTGGAGCCTGGACGCAACCCCTGACTTTGATACTCGCCAGCCAAGACCTGGGCAATTGCTCAACTTAGTTCCCTTTAGTTCCCTTGGCTATGAGATTCATTCTGGTACCTGAATTGAAGGACTGTTATAGTTTGGTACAAAATGCATCCCCCAAAGGTTCCCAGCTAGTTGTGCTATTGAAAGGTGAATGTATCACTAGAGTGCTAACCTCATCCATGGGGTAATCCAGTGATGAGTTCATAGCTGAATGGGTTATCAGGACATGGGGCCTGGTTGGAGGAAGCAGGTTATTGGAGCACCCCTCTGAATACCTTTTATCTCCAGACCCATCTGATCTCTTTGCTGGCCCCTCTCTGTTTGCTGGCCACCATGAAGTGAGCAACTTTGCCACACCCTTCTGCCATTGTGTTCTGTCTCAGTACATAGGGCTGAAAGCCAGAAAACAGTGAGTGAAGTAAGTCTTTCCTCATTTGTTTATAGTCTCTTTTTGTTTTGAGACAGGGGCTCATGTAACCCAGGCTGGCCTCAAACTCACTATGTCACCAAGGATGATCTTGAACTTGTGACCTTCTTGCCTCTGCAAGTGCTGAGATTGTGGTTCTGGGGATTGAACTCAGAGAGCTTCAGGCCTGCTGGGCAAGTACTCTCTCTACCAACTGATTACATCCCCAGCCTCTATATCTAGTTCTAGAATAAAATCTATTGTAAAGGGAATTTTGAGAATGAAGTGAGAAATCAAAGCTCTTTAAAATACCATCTGGCCAAGATAATGATTACAAACAGAAGTCAAAAGTGAATTTGAACCTGTGGGGCAATCTGAGAGATGCTCAAATCAGGCCTGGGCGGGGCTGCCTCCCTCAACCTAAAGCCCTCTTCCACACCACCCTGGGGATGGCAGCCGGCAACCTTCCTCCTCTCCACTCACCCGGTGATTGTCCATGTGGTCATGGTCTCTAGGGCCCATGTTATCGAGGTCACCAAACACTGGCCAATCTGAGCAGGGACAAGCAAAGTTGATATAGGACATGCCCAAGAGCTGCACACAGCCTGCCTACAGCACATGGCGCCTGCACCAAACTTCACTATGCAGCCCAACTCCCAACAATCCCCCTGCCTCAGCCTCCCAAGTGCCGGGGTTACAGGTGTGCACCACCATGCCCAGCATTTTACTTTTAACATGGTACACACACACACACACACACACACACACACACACACACACAATTTCTTTTGTGTGTTGTTTTGAGACAGGGTTTCTCTGTGTAGCCTTGGCTGTCCTGGAACTAGCTCTGTAGATCACGGTGGCCTCGAACTCAGAAATTCACCTGCCTCTGCCTCCCCAGGGCAGGAATTAAAGGTGTGTGCCCCGACCACTCCACTACTTTTAATTTTTAAAGAGAAGAACCACATGGGAAAAAGATACTGTCACCCCTGAAGAGTTACAGTTCTTTCTCAATTCTTTCCAAGTCTACCACTTGATAGCCATAGGATGTATGTCTTTGTCATGTGCATAGCTATAGTAACACACATCAGCTCTGAAGAAAGTACAGATATGATGGAAGAGAAGCCATCTGTCCATGTGGGGCTCAAGTGAGGGTCACAACATGGCTTTCAAGCCAACTGTCTCCGGGCAGTCAGCTTTCTCCTATCCTAAGCAAGCTGTAGCCTGACCCATCTGGCTGACCTTTTTGTTGGTGTTGTTCAGATAGGCTCTTACTATGTAGCCCTGGCTGTTGTGAAATTCACTCTGTTGACCAGGCTGGTCTTGAACTCACAGAGATCCATCTGCCTCAGTCTCCCAAGTGCTGGAACAAACATGTAGCCACCACACTCAGCAGTCTGACCATTTTTACTAAGTCTGAAACAATGTGGGCTGGGGAGATCTCAGTGGTAGAGAAAGAATAAGCCAAGCAAGGAGGCGGCTTGTGTTCAGCCCCAGCATACACCCATGTGCACACAGTTCATAAAAATGGCTTTTAAAATAGCTTTTAATATTTTTAAAGTATTTTATGGCAAGTGCCTCTATCCAGAGAGCCATCTTGCTAACCTCAGCTTTGCTCTTTTGACTTATTAATGATATTAACAAGTTTTCTAGTTTTCTAATGCAGAATAACTCAGATTCAACTATAATGTGCCAACAGTTTTTATTTGTTAGTACCATATATATATATGTACCATATATATATATATATATATACATATATATATATATATATACTCAGGAACTCTGGAAGAGGAGGTTGTGCTCCTAACCACTGAGCCATCTCTCCAGCCCAGTACTTTACATTTTTAAAAAAGATTGTCTTATGGGAGGTGTGGTTGTTTTGTTTTAGTTTTTGAGAAAGAGACTAGCTAGATAGCCCTGGCTGATCTGGAATTGCTATGTAAATCAGGCTGACCTCAAACTCAAGATTTCCCTGCCTCTGCCTCAATCATGGATTACCATAACTGGCTTATTCACAATTTGTACACTGTGATTGTAATGGTGTTGAGATGGAATGTTCTTTTCTGTGTTATTTCAGATGCCAGCTTTGCTAGCCTCATGAACAACACACTGAGGTGGGTTGTATATTTTACTGTACTGTATGGCTACATCTTAGAAGTTTGTCCTGTGAACTCATCAGTAATGCCATCTGGATTAAACTGTCTCATTTTCTATCATAAATGAAACTGGTTTAGCTCTGTTCTACCTGGTGACTGCCCCTGTGATCTCAGTATCAAGGACTTACGGAGCTGGTCCAATTTCTGGCTATGAGGTGTGGCCGAAGATGGGGAGGAAGGCAGAGAGTCAAAGGTCACATCACTCATGTTCTCATCCCCGGAGTTCTCTGAAAGGCGGAACAGCAAGGGGGGGCGGCTGCCAGAGAGAGTCTTTATGCAGGGATTCCCACACTTTTCCTCTGTCCCCCTCAAGATGGTCTTGGCCGATTGCTGGGGACATAATGGGGATATTCATGTCATGCAAGCATTCTATAGGGAATGGAGGTTCCTCTGAATCCTGAAACCTTTTCATCAATGGCTTTTATACTGCCTACTGAAAAATTAGTTCAGGATTAACCCTATGGTGTCCAAGAAAGGGTATATGGATGGAACTCAAAGGGGCTACTAGTCAGTGTTTCCTAAAGCACTGGCCATGTTCTATAAGCTTGAGCTGGAAGTATACCCCAAGGTACAACCAGATGCCAAAATTTGTTTTTGCCAACAGTCTCCTGAATTGGTTCTTATGAGAAGAGTAAGTGGGCTGGTCCCATTGCACACATTCGGCAGACCCAGGGAACCAGGTCTAGTCACTCGTTTGTTAGTGCACGTGGGCACGCATGTTTCCTGTTATTTCTGTTTCTGCATCTTTTCCTCACTCTGGTCACAAATAGGCCAAAGCTAAGCAAATGCCATCCCACAGGAAGCAGAGCCTGCCCTCTTGGTGACATAATGGCTGGCCCCACTGGAGTGAATTGCCACTGAGTACTTACCAAGAGCTTGGTGCTCTGATTCACCAGGGCCTGCTCCTGAGGTGAGAGGTCAAAGGGCACAAGGCCCATGCTCTTGCAAATCCGGTTACAGGCATGAGAATAGAAGAAGAGAGCCATTCCCCGGACACCTGCAGGCAGAACAGGGGTGTCTGGTGTCTTACTTTTGCCCAGTGACAAAGGACAGTAGGGACATGGAAATGTGGCCAGGACAGGCAGAGAGAAAAAAAAATGCTGAACTAAAGGGGTGGTGGATCAAGCAAACCAAGTTCTCACCCCCATAATCTCAGGGGAGACCCAACAGTGTGTTCCCCTGGATGGAGAAAGAACTAACAGATTTTACGGGACCATGGTCTCTGTGGACATGGGCTGGCTCTTCCCACTTACCGAGGTTGCCATCTCCAAAGTCAGTGCCTGTTTCAGTGTGGATCTGTGGGTCAGTGTAAAGGTCACCCACACCCTGGATGTCCACCACAATCAGCTGATGACCAGAACGCTCAAATGTGAAGTGGCTGAAGGCCTGTGTCGGGGGCAGCAAGAGAAGGTAGTTGTAGCAGACCAGATTGTGAACTAGACAGATGCTGGTCTGCTGCTGTGCTGGAGGCTGTGATACTCAGGTCCGCCCTGGTGAGGGCGTTCTCTGCAAGATGAGCTTTATAGAGTAAAAGACAGAAGAAGCATCTGCTCAACTATGCAAAGACCTCAGGGTTATATGTTTATTGACATCTTAGGGCTGCTGAAAGAAACCAGCACAGGATGGCAGGTGTATTGCTTATAAAAGAATCTTGGGAGATGACTTGGTGGTTAAATCACTTGCCATGCAAACATGAGGACCAGAGCTTGGAGCCCCAGAAATAATGTAAATGTCGGTGTGCAGATGTAGGTCCACCTCTAGAGTCCAGCTTTAGGTGGAGATGGGATCCCCAGGGCAAGCTGGCTAAAAAGACTAGCCATATCAGTGAGCTCTGGGTTTGAATGAGAGACCCTGACTCAAAGAATAAGGTGGAAGAGTGATCAAAGATGATCCTCAATATCACATAGGCACACACACATACAGGTGCACAAACACCCAGGTATACACTCACATGCAGATAACACATGACATGTACACTGCAGATAAACACATGGAAAGGGGTGGGGGATCTTTCGGGGCTGGGGATACTGTTGTGTGGTAGGGCAGGTCCCTCTCATGTTGGAGCCCTGGGTTCATCACCCATGTTTCAATGGATGTGAGGAGCCTCTGAGGATGTAAGAATCCACCCACAGGAATCTCCTTGTCTAGGGTTGAGCCTTCCCCCAAGGGGATGGAGGATGAAAAATGTGAGCAGAGCAAGCCCAGGGCCTCACCTGTGGTGTCAGTCGGATGTTGTCATCGCGGACAAAGCCTGAGTTGGAATTATACTTGATGTACTTGCCCTCAATGTAGTGCTCCAGGTGGAAGAGGGGTTGGCCTTCTCTGTCCTTTAGCTCAATGATGCACATCTGCATGATATCTACCTGGAGGAAGCATAGGGAGCAGGGTCTCACCACTCAGCAGCTCTTTCAAGAACTGCTAGCCGTACTAGGAATTCACTCCCCTCCTTTTAAGTATGAAAATCTTCATCTTTGGATTTTAGCAGGATACACAGCAAGGATCACAAAGGGAATCACACTGATTAGCCTCTCCTGCTACTAGGTGTGACCATGTGACCACACCTAGCCAATGGGAAATGAGTCCCAGCAATGCCATAACTGCAGCCTGCCCTGTAAGGTGGACTGCTTGGGAGCCATAACTGGAACCATGGTCAAAAGCCCTAGGAGATGAGAGTGACAGGACAGAAGGAACCGGGTCTCTGGATGACTTCAAAGACACAAATGCCAGCCTGCTCAGAGCTGCTTTTATACAAATTACAAAGGAACCATTTTATGTCTGTGCAAACTTAATGAATCTCTTTGCTAGCAACTCAGACTGGGCCTAACACTAATATCGTAAGTTTGGACAAGTTATTTTCATGTCACCGTTTTAGTTTTCTTGCCTGTAGATAGGGGTATGTCGGACTTGGCACAAAGATTAAATTTACCGATGCACAAAGAAGTCATTGTTCATGATACTATTATTGTTAAATTGTGGTTAGACATGGTGTCCTAAACTGATGGTGCCACAGAACCTTTAGGAAGTGAAGTTCTACCAGAGGAAGTGGGCTACTGGGGCAGTCCTTGCGGTTTTACAGCTCAGCCCACTTCCTGTCTGCTTGACCATCTGCCTCATGTTCCTGCTGACAGGCCTTTCCTACCAACTGTGAACAAAATACAACCCTGACCCTTTTCCTTAAGTTTGATCCAAACAAGAAAAGTAGTTTCTCTGCAATGGGGAATTACAAGAAATGTCAACATTTTTTGAATTTTTTAAAAATTTATTTATTTTGGTTGGGGGATTTTAAGATAGGGTGTTACTATGTAGCTCTGGTTGTCCTGGAACTCACTTTGTAGACCACGCTGGCCTCAAACTCCTGAGTACTGGGATTAAAGCGTGCACTACTAAGCCTGGCTAGATTTTTTATAGGGTATGTGTGGAATGTGATGCACAGTTGCTAATTAATATAGACACTATGCATGGTTTCTAAACTGGAGTAAAAGAGACCCGTGGCTTCTGACTCCTGAGGACTCTGCATGGCACCTGTCCCTCTCAGTATCACCTATACATGGAAAGAACCAGGTTTGGGATTCAAAAGCAATGACCCTTCAAAGCAGTGAAGAGGGTCACCAGACAAGCAGGCAACAGCTACAGAAGGAACCTGAGCCCAGAAGTGACAGCTGAGACCTTTAGCAAAGACAGCTGAGGTTCTGAGAACCAACCCTGGGGGGGGAGAGCAGACAGTTCCATGGAGAAACCCTGTCTCAAACAAACAAATACATTTTAAAAATTAAAAAAAAAAATAGAAACAAGGCATTGTCATCCCAGTAAGGCTGGTGAGAAATGAGCCTGTAGCTGCTGGGATCAACAGGACACACGGACGTGGTGCCAACCCAAATACTCAGGCCATAGTAGAAGATACCTGATAACCTCAGCATGGCCGGTACCAGCCGTGCCTAGAGCTGGATCTAGTTTTCAAGTGCATGAAACAAGGACTTCCCTTGTTTCCCAGTCTAGATGGGTTTCTGCCATCTGCAAACAAAACTCATGAAAGAACAATGAAATGGCTCAGTGGGTGAAGGAGCCTGCCACCAAGCCTGATGACTTGAATTCAATCCCTGGGCCCCCGATGGCAAAAGGGGAGCACCAACTCTCAAAAGTTGTCCCATGTGATGTGGCAAGTGTGCACAGGCCACACCACAAAATAGATACAAAATATTAAAAAATTATTTTATAAATATCATAACAGACAGATCCCACCTGTCAACAGACATTAAAACACTCTAATCACAGAGCTCCTGGTTTTTAGGAATAAATGATTCACTATATATGAAGTACATGGCTTACCATGTTAAAAAAAAAAAAAAAAAACAGCGATAGTTACGTGGCAACTGGTAAGAAGATGAGGGGTTAGGCATGGTGATACCTGCCATTAATCCCAAAATTCCAGAGCAAGAGCCTGTTTCAAAGCATCAGGGGCTTGAGGTATGGCTCCATGGTCCAGCACTTGCCTGGCATATGCAAAGGTCTCATTTCAATCTCCAGCACTCCAGAAGAGGTGCAGCTAGGACCCCATGTTTCACCATCACCCTCATGGCCAGTCAGTGTAGGAATGAGACAGGCAGGGCTCACATACCTGTTTGGGGGGCTTGTGCCGATTGTACTCCTCCCCCCAGAGCTTAGCCTCCATCTGGAGCTGGACATCCTCAAAGTACACGCTCCTGTCCACTGTTTCAATATAGCGTTTTGCCACATAGTTGGAGGCTGCCTTCCATTGCTGGGCATGCAAAAAGTTGGAGAGTTTCTTCCTGGGGAGAAAGACAAGGGGTAGCCTGTCTGGATCTCAGGAGTTCACTGCAGGCACATCCTTAGATTTTAGAATCACTAGGCCCTGTCTGACATGGTTAGATGGAGGACGGAACAGGGTAGAGGAGCAGGAAAAGCAACATCTCCACTCCTCTACAAGGATTAAGGACCAATGTCCAAGGCCTCCCATCCCACCCTCTGTGCCTCCAAATACCCAAGCAGGTGAGTGGCCATTCCCTTTCCTTCCAGAGCCCTACAACTGGGCCAGGTGGGGTCCAACAGACACCAGATAGAGAGAAGAACTTGGGCTAAATGGAGGCACCAACCACTTGTTTCAGCCTTTGGTTGGAAATACCCCACCCCCCCACTCCCAGGCCAGTTCTAGCTTTTAGGAGTCTAGGCAGAAGACCCAGGCCAATCACTTACGTCCTGAAGCACTCCCTCATTGCTCCACGGCCGAAGGGCTGAAAGATAAGACAGAGTCATCAGTGCTCACACCCCATGATCCCCTCTGTCACTGCCTACCCAGCAAGGTGTCCTGTACATTACCTCAATTCTAATAACCCTAGGCTGTTCTTCTTGGGCCTCAGTGCCAAAGCCAGATAGGTCTTTCACCCTGGAGGCTTCTGGGATGAGGAGGATGCTGGGATACATCATCTCAACCCAATGGAAGAGCCTACAGTGGGGCCAAGATGCTGGGGAGGAACAGTGCAAGACAAAGGGTATTTTTCACAGTCTTTGCTTTTCCTCGCTTTGCTTCCTGGCCACCATCAGGTAAACAGGCCTCCTCTGCCATGTGCTCCTGCTGGAATGTACTGAGCCCACACAGGCCCAAAACAACAGGGCCAACAGACCACGAACTGAAAGTTCTGAAACCATGAGCCAAAATAAACACCTTCTCTTTTTAAGATGATTATGTAACTCAGGAATGGTGACTCCTGCCTTTGATCCCAGCACTGAGGAGGCAGAGGCAGGAGGACCTCTGAGTTCAAGGCAAGCCTGGTCTACATACTGAATTCCAGGACAGCCAGGGCTAGATAGAGAGACACTGTCTCAAAAAAAAATAAAACAAAAAACAAAAAACAAAAACAAATATGATTGTGTAGGGAATTGTGTACAGGTATAAAAATCTGAATAATGTTATCTCAAAACAGAAGGAAGGAAAAATGGCTCAGCAGTTAAGAACACTTTCTGCCTCTCAGAGGACCCAAGTTCAGTGCCCAGCATCTATGTCTGGCAGCTCACAACCACCTGTAACTCCAGGACTCTCTTCTGGCCTTTGGGGGAACTGTACTCACTTGCACATGCAGGAACACACATACACACACACACACACACACACACACACACACACACACACCACTTATAAAAAATGAAGATAAACCAGGCAGTGGTGGCGCATGCCTTTAATCCCAGCACTCAGGAGGCAGAGGCAGGTAGATCTCTGTGAGTTTGAGACCAGCCTGGTCTACAGTGAGTTCCAGAACAGCCAGGGCTACACAGAGAAATCCTGTCTCAAAAACCAAAAAAAGAAAAAAAAAAGATAAGGAAAACAGAAAGAAGCGGGGAGAGACGCAAGCCGTCTAAATGTCTAACAGTAATCTGCCACACAAAGTACTAGGTCTATTCATTCAATGAAGTATTTACACAGCAAGGGAAAAAATGGGAAATGCTGGAGCTGTGAAGCAGAGCACTGGCTGTTTTTCCAGAGGACCTGGGTTCAATTCCCAGCACCCACATGGCTGCTCACAACTGTCTGTAATTCCAGTTCCAGGGGACCCAAAACCCTTGTAAAACACTAATGCATATAAAATAATTTTTTAAAGTTATTTAGGAAAATGTTGAGTAAAAGAAGCCACACTCATAAGATGCAATGACAGATGAATGGAAGTCTTAGGACAGGGTTTGGGACAGTGTTGAACCTTGCTGGGTGAGCAGTGACTGAGAGGAGCCTGTGGAACACTGGCTCTGTTCTGCTTCTCTGGGTGCTGTGCCAGCATGTCCACCTTGGGAACACACATCAAGTTGTATGCTTTGCTTGCTTCTTGGTGTGGGGATGGAACCCACTGCCTCCCACATGCCAAGGACTTACACACCAATGCAGAACAGCTCCTCTCCTGTTTTTTTCTGTGAGTATGTTACTTTGTAAGAGATCCCCCCTTTTTCTAATCCCGATTTCTAATAATAATAATAATAATAATAATAATAACAATAATATAGGGTAGTCAGGGTAGTGTCATGTAAATCAGTCCACTGGCAGTGACCCACTGAGAGGTCTTCATGACATCTTTGTGTATGAAGTGCTTAAAGCTGAGCTATCTACATTACAGAAATTGGACCAGGTGTTTCCAGGAGTTCAGGTGCTAGAGGAATAGGGTGGACTAAAAATATTCTGGACCAACAGCTCCTCAGATGAGGGTGGGTCTTCCTGGGCCATCCCCAGTCCACGTTGGGATTTAGGTTGGCTTGATCTCTCGAGCAGGACATATGAGGGTGTGAGTGTGCCTCAGGAATGCAACCCCTGGTAGGTAGTCCATGCTGGAGTATATGCTACCATGAACATACTAGTGGACTCTATGGATTTAAACAGAGTATAAGTTGTGTGGGTGTATATGTGTGTGTGGGGGGGGTGATGGCATAGGAGAAGAGTGAGGGGAGATGATCAGAATACATATGTGCATGTATGAAATTCTAAATAATAAATTTTAAAATGAGGGGACAGGTTCTAGAATTGAATGGTGACTGCTAAAAAGCTGAAAGCCATGGATTGTAAAAGTTTTTCTTTCTTTTTGCAGTGTTATGTGTGAGTGTGTGTGTGGGGGGGGTTATACCAAGGTCTTATGCACATTAGACAAGCATGCTACCACTGACGTACACCCCAAGCCTGAACTCTGTAAATGAAGTAGGCAATGTGTATGGTATGTGAGATACATGTTAGTGAGATACAAGTATTTAAAAACACAAAATATTGGCTGATGAGATGGCTCAGTGAGTAAAACTGCTTACAGCTGAGCCTGACAAAATGAGCATCCAGTACCTACATGATGAAGAGAGAACCAAATGCCACAAATTATCTTCTGACCTCCACCTGTGCACTGCAGTATGCATGCCCTCACACACAAATAGCTAACTAAATGTAATAATAATAACAATTTAAAGCCGGGCGTTGGTGGTGCATGCCTTTAGTCCCAACACTCAGGAGGCAGAGGCAGGCAGATCTCTGTGAGTTCAAGGCCGGCCTGGTCTACAGAGTGAGTTCCAGGACAGGTTCCAACACAATACAGAGAAACCCTGTCTTGAAAAAACCAAAACAAAAAAAAATTAAAAAATAAAAGTAAAAACATAATACAGGGCCAGTGGATGGCTAAGCAAGTAAAGGTGTTTGCCACCTAGCCTGACAACATGAATTTGACCCCTGGAATCCATATGGAGAAAAGAAAAGAAAACAAGCTGTCCTCTGACCCCTCCCACACACACACGGTTGCAAAATAATAAAATCAATTAAAAATATAACATGTAAATGGTAACACAGAAAAACCCCAAAGATAAAAAAGTGGGTTCACAGCATGTATGCATGAGGCCGAGGCAGAAAGTTGTGAGTTTGAGGCCAGCCACAGTTGAGTGTGATGCTGGCTAGCCTGGCCTGCAAAAGACAGCTCTGTCTGTCTCTGTCTCTCTCACACATACACACACACAACAACAACAACAAACAAAGGAAAATAAAAAAACAAAGTTAAATAAAGTGGGAATGGAAAGAAGATACTACAAATGGCTTGGAAAAGTCCCTACTAGGCCCTGTCCCCTCACAGCTCAGGCTTCTGCTTACCTGAGATGCCATCTTGATCAGAACCTCGTCTTTCAGCCATTCCCCGGTGACGGCGTTGTACCTACAGAGATCAGAGCCCACCTAGAGCATCCTGGTCCTGCCCCTCACTAGCACAAACTCTCCTGGGCTCTTTATGGGCCTCAGGACCCAGCCCACTCTGCACCTGGGCCAGCAGGCTTGCTGAGTCTTGGGGTGGGCTGTGGACACCTTCCCTCCCTCCCATGAACTTAATGGGACTTGCTTTTCCTCTGCATGGTGTCAAGACCAGCACTCCCTTCTGGCTTGCATTGCTCTTTCATTAGGCCACAACTCCACAAAACAGGTCCATGTCTGTCTTGTTCACCACAGGCTCTAGTGTGTGTAGATGCTTAACACACACTTGTTGGACAGATGACTGAAGATATAAGTATCCTTACAAATGGTCTATATAACTGCTAGGTCTCGGGCAGTCCAATAGGCAGTCCGTATATCCAGAAATGAGTTCAAGCTGGACTATTGGAGGACCTCTGGATATATGGACTGCCTGAGACCTAACAGTAACAAACAGCAGGTCCCAGAGAGGGAGGGAGGGAGGGAGGGAGGGAAGGAGGGAGGGAGGAAGGGAGCAGTCCCTCAACTTTGCCAGGCACAGCCCACACAGGTAGATAACATCTCCCAGAGGTAAGGACTGTCACAGTGCATGTAGGGGGCAGGGAAAGAGCTGCCTCTGAGGAGAATGGAGGAAACACTGAGAATGATAGGGGTGTGGATAAGAAAGAGATGGGGGGGAGGAGTGGTGAAGAGATATAAGTATCCTTACAAATGGTCTATATAACTGCTAGGTCTCGGGCAGTCCAATAGGCAGTCCGTATATCCAGAAATGAGTTCAAGCTGGACTATTGGAGGACCTCTGGATATATGGACTGCCTGAGACCTAACAGTAACAAACAGCAGGTCCCAGAGAGGGAGGGAGGGAGGGAGGGAGGGAAGGAGGGAGGGACGAAGGGAGCAGTCCCTCAACTTTGCCAGGCACAGCCCACACAGGTAGATAACATCTCCCAGAGGTAAGGACTGTCACAGTGCATGTAGGGGGCAGGGAAAGAGCTGCCTCTGAGGAGAATGGAGGAAACACTGAGAATGATAGGGGTGTGGATAAGAAAGAGATGGGGGGGAGGACTGGTTAAGAGATTGAGAGAGATGCAGAGAGATGGAGAGGAAGAGAGGGGGAGACTTTGCATGAGAGAGGGAGATGAAGAGAGAAATGGAAGGAAAGATGAAAAGTGATAGGACAATGGAGAAAGAAGAGGTGGAAGGGGGAGGGGTGGTTGCAGAATATCCCCAGCTTCGCTCTCCCAGGAATTCTCTTCCCAGCGCACATCTGGCAGCCTCAGGCCTGGGGAGTTCCCAGCCTCAGTGAGTCACTACAGCAGGAACCAAACTTTATCTCTGGCCAGTGGCCTCCTGGTTCAGAACACCCAGACCTGGGAAAACAGGTTTGTCAGCGGGTGGAACAAACAGAAGCCTGGCAGGTTACCTCCACAGGCTCAGAGGAGGAGGGCTCTGCCAGGCTGTCAATTTGCCTGCAGCCAGCGGCAGGCCAGCACTACGTTTTACATAGCGTCTCTGTAGAGATGGAGGCCATAGATGCACCACTCCCTCGCCTCGCCTCGCCTCTGAGAGGCACCTAGAGGCTGGGGGAGGGGGTCAGTGTGCAACTTTGAAAGGGTCGTGCTTGCCGCTCACAACCACTAATACCAAAAAGGCAAGAGTCAGCCAGGACTGGTGACATAGACCTGTAACCCCAGCTACTTTCAACAGCCAAGTTGGAGGTCTGTCTGGGCTATATAGTAAGTTCAAAGTCAGCCTTGGCCAACTTGAGGGGACCCTATCTCAAAATAAAAATGAAATGAAGGCTGGGAATGTAGCTCACAGGCAGAACACTTGTCTATATCTAGGAAGCCCTGGGCTCAATCCTCAGTAACACAGTAAGTAAATAAAGGAATGACTAAATGCCCAGTGTGCTTGAAGTTCATGGAGTTCACTATATGCTGGGTTCTTAAGCAGACCTTTTCATTTACTGTTTGTGGAGACCCTGAGACGGCGATAATCATTGTGCCTGTTTTACAGAAACTGGCTCAGAGGTGAGGTCTCCTGCTGAGCATCAGATTCAAACTCAGGCATGTTTAAAGCAGAATCTAGCTCTCAACCAGCCAAAGAATTCGGGGGGGGGGGGGCAGGAAACCTGTCCTAAACAGAAGGGGCCAGCTTGTACCAAGGCTTTTCATCTTAAAAGGCTACGGCCGGAGAAAGAAGCACCAGGTTTAGACATTTCAGACATCCATGTATGGCCTCCAGTAATCAGAATGTTCTAGACAGCTATGCTTGGCATCCTCTCACTGGCAGCCTGGGTAGCATAAACTCAGCCATTTAGGAAATAAATAGTTCAGTCTGGTCTAAGATCCCAGTTGGGCTTCAAGACACAGAGCCAGCTCAGTGAAGAGCCACTCTCACCCTGGTGATCCTGGACACTATGTCACCAGCTTGCTATCCTAGTGCTCTTGCAGGTAGAAAAGAGGTAGGACCTACTTACACCTCACATGCTGGGTTCCAAACCATGCTGAACTATCCTGCCCCCACAGTGGGAGGTAGGTATGCAGCTGAGGAGAGGAGGCACAAGAGGGGCTCTGCAGCCACCTCCTTCAAGGACAGGAGCAGAAATGATGGAGAGGACAGGGTGTGCTAGTTAAGATGCCCCTGCAAGTGACCATGCATCAAAACCTGCTACACTGCGCCTTGATACTGTCTGCTCTACTGGTGTTTGCAAGGGCAAGTGTTGGGATTATGGTGTCACAAGTCAGGAGGAGCTTGGAGCTGCTCAACTCTCAGCCAACTTCAGATGGAGGATAATGCACCTTTGCTGTGCATGAACCGCTCCCCCTTCCTTAACCAAAACACCTGGGACCAAAACGTTTCCACGGTTCAGATTGTTTCCCGTTTTGAATGTTAGTACAGACTTAGCTTGTTGGGCCTCTCTGACAGTCCCACCTGCTGTAGAATCTGAAGCTGGGGTATTAGTTCTTTTTCTTCAACCAGAAGCAGGACCCATGATGCCCCACCCTTAACCCACAAGGACTGCTTTAATCCCAGCATTTGAGAGGCAGAGGCAGGCAGATGGATCTCTGTGAATTCGAGCTGGCCTCAGTCTACAGAGTTCTAGGACAGGCCCCAAAGCAAGCAATATAGAGAAACCCTGTTTCGAGAAACAAAAAACAAAAAACAAAGCCCCTGGGACAAACTGCTGACCTGTGCCGAGTAGCATGTTCTGTGGCGATGTCCTCGAGATGGAACTCGGCCCATGGGTCAGGCATATGCTTGGCCTTCTCAATCGCGTGCTTCCAGGCTTCCTGCAGAAAGGCAGAGAGAGCGTGAGGCCCAGGCCAGGGGCAGCCAGCCGCCTCTTCCCTAGTTATGTCCCCTGGGAAGGACCACAGCATCTAAAAGAAAGGATTCCCATCCTCTGTCCTCCCAAGAACAGTCCCGAAGGGACCCAGTGTGTTCTCATGGGCTCGGCTTATGGATAGAAGTCGCTGACATGTTAATTACACAATTCTTCACTTGCCAGAGAGATGGTTCAGTGGTTAAGGGCATGCAATGTTCTTGCAGAGGACCTGAGTTTTTTTTGATGAACAGCGGCCACATTGCACAGATCACAGCTGCCCATAACTCCAGCTCCAAGAGATCTGTTGACCTCTTCTAGCTTCTTCAGGCTCTGAAGCCTATGTGCATACACATGTGTACATGTATACACGTGTACACACACACACACACACACACACACACACACACACAAACACACACAGGTTTTCTTTTCCCTTTGTTTTTATTCTTTAAATAAAATATGAGTACTGAGCAATCAGACTTCTGTGAGTTTGGGGCCAGCACGGTCAACAAGTTCCAGGAGAACCAGAGCTATATAGCAAGGCCCCATCTCAAAAAAATTAAAAAATATTATATTGAGCTCAGTGAGTGCTTGCCTGGTATACACAAGGCCCCAGGTTTGGCCCCCAGAAAATGCTCCTTTCTCCCATTTAAACAAGTTTAAGCATTTTTAAAAAATATTTTATTTACTTATTATGTATACAACATTCTGCTTCCATGTTTATCTGCACACTAGAAGAGGGCAGCAGATCTCATAACGGATAGTTGTGTGCCACATGTGGTTGCTGGGAATTGAACTCAGGACCTCTGGAAGAGTAGTCAGTGCTCTTAACCTCTGAGCCATCTCTCCAGTCCCAAGTTTAAGCATTTTAAAAAAAATAATTTTGGGGGGTTTTTTCGAGACAGTTTCTCTGTGTAACAGTACTGGCTGTCCTGGAACTTGCTTTGTAGACCAGGCTGGCCTTGAACTCACAGAGCTCCACCTTCCTCTGCCTCCCAAATACTGGGACTAATGCCCAGCAAGTTTAAGCATTTTTATTGAGTGCCTGCCAGGAAACTGATTTCCTGATGTAGCACCACTGTAAATCTTGTGTGTAAAAGGCACCCTACTATAATGGGGGGAGGAGGGACCAACAACAAAACCTCATTCCTAACTTCACTCAGCAGCTCCTGCATCCAGGAACCAACCCCACAGGAGGAGAACTAAGCTCGCTCTCACACTGATGATAGATGCATCCTGTGATTGGGCAGAAATGAACCAGCCTAAGCACTATGGCAAGGCCTGCTTGAATAGCCTTCGTCATCATGTAGAAGGCTAAGAAGCTAGGCATAGAGGTGCACACCTGAAGTCCCAGCCTCTGACTCTGAGGTCAGCCTGGGTTACATAGAAAGTGCCAGGGGAGACAGGGCTACACAGATCTGGCTCAAAACAAGGAAGAAGAATGATGAGGGGGGTGAAGAGAAGGAGAGGAAGAGGAGGGGAAGGAAGAGGAAGAAAGGCTATTAAATGGCTTTGTGGTACGTGCTATGGTCCCTCAAGCCTCATGTGTTGGAAACTCAATCCCTGAACTCCCATGTGGATGGTATTTAGAGATGGGATCCTTGGGAGCCGAACAGGAGTAGAGGAGGCCAGGGAGACAGAGCCCCCTTCCAGCCCCACGACGGCACCAGTGGCTGCATGAGAGGAGACCAGGGTTAATTCAGTCACTGTACCACATCATGTGATGCCATGTTAGGATTCAGCAGGATTAGGCTCTCGCCAGATGCCAGGAAGATGCCAGGACTTCCTTGCGCTTCCCAGGATCTAATCTTATAAACCAAATAAGCTTCTATTTTAAAAGAAATTTTTTAATTAATTCATTGTCCCCCCCCTTTTTCCTTTTTGGGTCAGGTTTTCATGTTATAGCATATTATCCTAAGGTGTGTTACTTTTGTTTATGCTGCATTTGTTTAACTCTGTGAAGCTGTGATTCTTTGCCTGTCTAAAATACCTGGTAGTCTAATAAAGAGCTAAATGGTCAATAGTGTGGCAGGAGCAAGGATAGGCGGGGCTGGCAGGCACAGAGAAGGAGAAACGAAGACAGAAGGAGGAGCAGGAGAATGAGAATGGGAGGACAGGGGCCAGCCCAGCCAGACAGTAAGAAAAAAAGCAAGATATGTAGAAGAAAGAAAGATAAAAGCCCAGAGGGAAAAGGTAGAAGGGCTAGAAACAAGCCACGGCTGGGCACTTATAACTAAGAATAAGCCTCCATGTGTGGTTTATTTGGGAGTTAGGTAGTGGGCCCCTCAAACAGCCAAAAAGTCAAAAGAGCAAAACCAACACACGACAGTTTCATAGTATAATCCTTGTTGTTCTAGAATTCACAATGTAGACTAAGCTGGCCTCAAACTCACAAAGATCCTCCTGCCTCTGCCTCTCAAGTGCTAGGATTAGAGGTTTGTGCCAAGACACCCATCCAGCAGCTAGTCTCTATAAACCATCCAGGCTCAGTCGTTTTGTTACAGCTACAGAAAACAGACTGTCTTAGCAGCTTCCTATGTTACCAAAGCAGAATCCTCCCTGCCCTTTCCAAACCAACATCCTTAGTCTATGGTGCTGTCAATCTTCACTATGTTTGTGCTTTCTTCCTAAGAACCGAAATTCTTTGCCCCAAAGGAACTTAAATCTTTGCTCCAGAATCATCAAGGCCCAAACTCCCTTCCAGGAGGCCTGTGGATTGTCCCTGTAGGGGAAGATAATGGGCAGAGGACTGGACATCATCTGGGTGAGACAGGCCAGAAGGAGCTCTGAAATAGGAAGGGGCAGTCAAGGGACAGCAATTTCAGATGGCCTTTGCCACCATCAGTTTCCCTCAGTGCCCTGGCCATCCCTGGAAGAAGTCCAGCTTCCCAGGCCTTAGCAAAGCTACATATAGGCCACCCTCCTATCATGGTCCCTCACTGGGAATCATCGGGGAAAGGAGCTGAGACTTCACACACACACACACACACACACACACACACACAGAGAGAGAGAGAGAGAGAGAGAGAGAGAGAGAGAGAGAGCCAGAGCTCCCTTCCAAGAGTCTTTCCAATCTCTGCAAAGCCCATTTTTTTTTCCCTTCCAGTCCAGAAGCTAATTTGGAATTAATGAAGCCACTTCGCAAATACAGAAAAGACCCCAGTAGCCACTGTCCATGCATGTCTTCAGTGAGTTATATTCCATGCATTTAAAAAAATATGGTTGGAATCATACAGACAATACACACTATATCCTTTTGGGGGAGCAAATCCCTGGGACTTCATGCTTTATTTAGTGGTCCTCACCATCACCACCCCCACTCCAAAAGCATCATCTGTTTTGCATGAAAACTACAAGTACTACAGAATTCTGAATGAGAAAGTGGAGTCTTCCCAACAGCCCTTCCTGGGCCGACACTTGCTGTAGACATTCTACAAACTCTCTCTCTCTCTCTCTTTGCCTTTGTTAAAAGATGTACATCAGGAGTGGCATGTCTCACTTCTGTTCTGACTTCTACTTTCTGCACTTAACATTCAGTCTTAGCCCTCCTGGCTCTGTGGGTGCAGACTGCATCCTTCCCAGGGCCGTGGGACACAGAACCGTGTAGGTGTACCCTATGCATTTGCCTCCAGGAGCTTGTACTTGGACGCCTTCCAGTACGTCCCAGTACAAACAGTGCTGACTCTAGCATTTCTTTCTCTACAACTCTGCATACTTGCACAAGACCTCAATAGGAAAGATTTTTGTTTGTCTTCAGTGTAATTTCTGGACCAGATTTAAAGTCTGGGGGCCTGGGAAACAGGTCAGTGTGGCATAGTGCACTGCCCTGGGTTTAATCCTCAGCAGTGAAACAAAAAAATTAGAAATCGCCCCCAAAATGTTCTTGTAAGTTACACTTCAAGCAGCAGTAAATACGTCATTCAAGTTCTGTTGGGAGATTCTGTCAAGGAAGTGTAAATTTTACACATTTGCAACAGTATAGAGTAATGCACTATGTGAGTTTATTACTACAGAATTGGCTTGCACTCATTTCCCCCCCTTATGAATGACCCCCCTGCAGATAAGCTGACATCCAAAACAGTTTCTGAATTTCAACCCCTGTACTTTAAAAGGCACATCATTGCCCTCTCTTATATTCCAGCCGCTGGGAATGGCTGATCTGTCTGTCTAGAGAGATGGAGGTTGCCTGTCCTTCTGGACATGTCTATATCTGTGGAGACATGATTCTCTAAGAAAATGTTGACTTCACCAATGCCTATACCACCAGAAACAAGGGCTGCCCCATGGCGGGGAGAGGGCGCTAGATTATCAACAGAAGTCATCTGGCCAGACTCAGAAGCTCCAACCAAAACCATAGTTAAAGGGTTGGGGTTGCAGCTAATCGGTACATTGCTTGCCTAGCACACATGAAGTCCCGAGTTCCATCCCCAATACCATTTGGGGGGGGGCACAACAAAAATCACCTTTTCCAAACTCAGGAATCATTCTTCACCTCACCACCACAGATGGCTTTAATTCAAGTGACTTGTTTCTAAGACAGGATCTCACTACATAAGGCTGGTCCCAAGCTCTCAGCCTCTGGAGGTACTGGGATTATAGGTGTTCACCACTATACATAGCTGCAAATGACTTCCTTTTTAAAGCAGAGTATAAAAAGTCTAGTACCCAGGCTGGGGTGATAGCTTGGCAGGAGCTGTTACTGCCTATTCTACCATTTGCCAGTTCTGACAATCTGAGTTTGATCCTTGGGATCCACAGGGTAAAAGGAGAGAAACAGCTCCCTCGAGTTGACAAACTGTCTTCTCATGTCCACACATATGCTTGGTACACACAAAATAAATAAATGAAAATTAATTTTTAAAAAAGTCTGCTGGGCTCGGGAGGCAGAGACAGGCGGATCTCTGTGAGTTCGAGACCAGCCTGGTCTACAAGAGCTAGTTCCAGGACAGCCTCCAAAGCCACAGA